ATATCTGTGTGTGTTTGTGTATATATGTGTACATATAATTTTTTTTAGTTGTAGTAAGCCTATGCAGGGGTGCCTTTCATTCTGATGACGTTTGTTTTTTAGTAGCATTGGCACAGGCTTTCTATTTCATTACATGGTGTATATTGACTCAATTGTATTTTGGCTGTATTATACTATGCGCTGTAACGGCAATATGTACTTACTCGTGCGCAAAATGTACTGTTATGTCGCGAATTTCTGTTATTACGCGTGTTTAAGGGATTGTGTAGTACTGTATGCTCCCCTCACCTCATGATTGCCTCTTCAAGGGCCTGTGAGGTATTTTTAAATCAGTAAATAAATAAATAAATGAATAAATAAATAAATAATGTGAGCAAAGTGTAAACTCAAGTCGCAGACGAATATCGACTATGACGTGTACCTACGTATGAAGTTTTTATGGTTATGAACGTTAACAAAGAAAATGGGCTTATCTTCATACATGTAATCGCCATTGTAGATAATTCAAGGTCTGTTTAACAAAAACAATGGCAGCATATCCACGGAGTGAATGATGGAGAGTGGGGTGAAGCATTCGTCCGTCCATGCGTCCGTCTGTGTGACCGTCCATGCGTCTGTTCGTGCGCCCGTCCCTGCGTTCGTTCATGCATCCGCCCCTGCGTCCGTTCATGCGTCCATTTATGCATCTGTCTGTGTGTCCGTTCATTCATCTATTCGACACTCCAAGTCCCACCATCTCGCATCTTTTTATCCTACATTCCCCTTATAGAAGCACCGCCATTCAGTGGACATTCCAAGGACTAAACGAGAGGTGGCAAACGTACACTTTCTTACGGCTTGCGCTTCGGGTCTACTTCCCACCTTCAACCACCTCGAATTCATGGTATATACTAGTTCACTGTATTCATGGCACTGCGGCCCAATGCTCGCTAAACCTTTCTAGAACCAAGGAGGTTACGCCCAGCAAGTATAACGTAGCAACCTTTTCCTGTCAGATAGTGCTTAATGTACATACCAGTGGCTGCTAATGTGAAATGAGAGACAGGAGGATTAAGCTTTTAATTTCTTACGGCTTGCGCTTCGTATCTGCTTCCCCACTTTAACCACCTCGAAATCATTCATGATATTATATACTAGTTCATTGTATTCATGGCCCTGCGGCTCAACGCTCGCCAAACCTTTCTAAAACTAAGGAGGTTACACCCAGCGAGTATAATGTAGCAACCCTTCTTGTCCGATAGTGCTCAATGTACATGCCAATGGCTGCTAATGGGGATCGCAGCGTTTGCGTTGACTAAAAGCCGAATTCTCCTGTCTCTCATTCCCCATTAGCAGTCATTGGCATGTACATTGAGCACTATTTTTTATTGTTAAACAACGCACAGAAGAAATCTCTCACCGGCACCACCTTGGAGGTTAAATGTTATACCTATTTCGGGTATGTGCCACTGGTGGTTACGTACTACGAGGGACGCACAAGCCACGCCATAAGGAGCTTCGCCCCTAAAATGTCTGCAGGTTTCCGTAATTCAGTAATACTTGCTGTTGGGCTGTTTGTTGGGGATTCACATTATGAAGTTATAGCGCAAGGACGAAAAATGAGGTATCCTTAAGAATGAGTGTTCTGTACACTGTGTTCTAGAGCAATATACGGGCTCAATTTCAGAGACCCAGCCTTCTCCGGGCATGTTTGACGGCGTGGAAGGCCCTTCCCACGCTAAAAAGCCCCAAGCCCGCCCAACCCAGCCCGGCCTTAAATTACGAAGGCCTGCTGCGGGGACAAGATGCTGTGTACCGGTGATTTGGCAGTGTATTCAACATATCGATGTGAAATATAAGCAAATAACATGTGATAGTCACTATATCCATGATGTTCAAGTTTTCGTGTAAAAATAAGGTGTCCAATAGATTGATTCATGTAAAATACGGCTCTCTGCGTCACATATCCCGCCCAAGGCTGGTTCACTGATCGCACTCGGAGCCAGAATTGCCGACGCATTTTTCGGAAGCACAGAAAGCTTAGAATATATAAATTGTTTTTTATTTCAGACGTTTAGTACCCCAGATGTAGGAGGCGTGATACCCCGTGTGTAGAAATTGAGAGAGAAAATAGAAGAAATGAAGGCAGGGAGGTTAACCAGGTGCTAGGATCCGGTATGCTACTCTGCACAGGGGTTGGGGAATAGGGTGTTGAAAGAGAGAGAGAGATAAGAACAAAAAGCACAGACACACACGCATACACAAAATTACTACACTCAGCGTCACAGGCCATCACAAAGCTGATCTTTTGGGGCTTCACACTTTTTCCTTGCGTTTAAAATGGCTAAAAAACAGAAGAACCTAGAAATGGGGCGGAAGGGTCGTGAAGAACGCGCTACGCGGTCGAAAACAGTTTAGGCACAGCGTCTATATTTTGGGCTTGATTCGGGCTTTGAATAGGGCATGGACAGCCCAACAATAAACAATGCAGTCGAAGTACGGCCCAGGCCCAAGATTAGAAGACGTAGGCCCACCTGTGCCCATCAAGCGAGCTGGGCTGGGTTCGGGCTTTCGTGCATCCATAAACCCGTGCACACTTCCACTGTCTTCTCTCTTTACACGTATATACCTTATTCACGCTAGAAATGCTTTATATAAGGATGCCGTAGCATTTTTTGATCCTTGTATGCACCGAGTTTAATTCCTCTGGATGGTCCAGTTAACATTCCGGTCACACCAGGCATTGATTCTTTATCGGCTCTTTCTGGCATGGAATCAATACTCTCAATATAGCTTTGAACACTATCTGTTAAACTTAATATGTAAGATTTGACATTTCAAGTGTTAAATATATCTTCGGACCAACTTATAAGGCCTCAACAAGGAAGTCAGCTTTGTTTGAAATAGAAAAATTCGAACTGTAAATGCGAAATATTAGAAGAAGCAAGGTGTTGAGAGATCTATAAGTAAGCAGCCGTGTGTAATCGAATCAATCAATCAATCAATCAATCAATCAATCAATCAATCAATGAATCAATCAATCAATCAATCAAAATAGCTATATGACTATTTCATATAGCATACAAGGTAGAACGTCCTGAATGTCTAGAGTATACCTTCCCTGGGAACAACACGATTGTGGACTCAGTTGTAGTTTTGACCTCTTAAAAAGTTATACAAAGTGCACCTAAATATATGTACACGAATATTTTTGTATTTGAGTCGTATGAGCATGTGGCTGCCCCGACCATGAGTCCACCACCTGCTTCAGTTTAAAAATAAGTTGGTACCATTTCACCGGTCTACAGTGACAGAGAGGCCACAAGCTTTGTCTGGGGGAGCTTAAGTTTCACTCAATAAGGAAATCGCGTGTCCTAATGATATATTCAAAATTCACGAAGCACTTCGAGGTATGTACACTCAAGAGAGTTTCATTGACGTATATTTACATCACAATGAAAGTGTGTTGCTTTGTTTTGTTTGCTTATTTGATCCATAGTTAAAGCACAGAATGCTCACTGAGTGTAAGTGGCCTACGAGATTGTGTTCTGCATAATACTGCGTGGAAATACGTGCATGGGGACAAAGAACTAGCCTGTCCACAACCACTGAAAAAAACTTGAAGACGCCTACATATACGGCACCCGAGCTTTATCTACGTAAGTGGTTTGCGGATATTGGACACACGCTGAAGTTTGCTCAAGTCACATTTCGAAAGAACGGAACAGAGAAATTTCTCAACAGGTTCAGCCATCGCATAAGAAACAAACACTTCTGAAATTTTTATTACTTTCCCAATTCAGCCAACCATACGTTTGTTTCATTTTTAATGTTCTGTTAGGAAGAGAGGAAATGGATTAGCGATGCAAACAGTTATATCCTTAATTCTGCATAGGGTTCTCTTCCAACTATGTATGGTTCAAGAAGTGCCGGATTTCCAGCTAGACCGAATTGTCTGACTCGCAAACTTCCTGACGACGTTTAAGGGCATCACGGAAGCGGCTTCGAGTGCCTCAGAGGAGTCGCTGTGCCCGCGACGATGTTAATCCGAGTCGGATGTTAGGGACAGACTGTAGCTTGAGTTTTCACAAAGCCTCTGAGTTTCCGCAATCTTGCTTGAATAGGTGAGCGAAGACATAGCCGAGGAAAGAGATTTTCATCTTTATGCTCTTGTCACATGAAAAAGCTACATCGCTTATTTGCGAGATAAATTTGTACTCTCACGTAAGTCTTTCATCTGAGCTCAGACGTAATTATTTGACAGGTCAATATTTATTGCACTTGAAAAAAGACAACATGAAGAGGAGCCTTCTTATCTCTCTTTTGTAAGAATGTCTTAGCGCCTATAGCTTCATCTGACGTCTCGAATATTGTTATCACACTTGCGCCATTCGTTGGCCTTGTCTTAAAGAAAGAAACTATACAATCTACAGCTGAAGGGCCTAGTTCCTTGAGGAGGTTGTGAAGTCCCTCATACTGAAGGACATTTTACTAGATGACAATGAGCAGTGCCGAAACACGTGAAGTCCCGCTGAGCAATGCGAAAAGCATCATCGGAGTCGTTTTCAAGAGGTGTTTATATTCAGCTAGGAATCCGTTATCCCCCCCCTCCTTCCACCTACCTTTGCATCATGAAGAGAGATTGGCTGAAATGATAGTAACAATCCTGACTGGCGTTTGCCTCACTGGTGTTTGCCACCCGTGTTTTCGTTTTATTTTTAGCGCACCATGGGTGAGTTTTAGGGCCTCCCCAAATTTCGTTCGAGATACGCGATGGAAGTTTTCGCATGCATAGGACGGGCGAACTTTGGTTTAGCCCTGCAATATGCAGCTTCGTTGCAATGAGAAGAAGCCGCAACACCAAAATAGTAATAAAAGGCCAAAGTTTGGGACACATTATGATGACGATGATGATGGCCTAAAAGCATGGCTCACGCCCACTCTGGGGGATTCGCCAAGAAGCGTAAAATAAGATAGATGGGATCACATGTTACTTTCAAATCTAATGAGTTATAAAATAATTAGAATAAAATTTTACTTATTGAGAGATTTGCAATAAAAACGCCTTCATTCGATTAAGACCCTTTCTACAGCATATTACAGTTCTCAATACTCTTTTTCAAAAAATTGTAATTTTCTAACTATACAGTGCTGTCGCCGCATAGTAAAGCGGAACGTCCACTTGCAGCCACTGTGAGCTCGAAGTTCCTTCTACATACTTCCACCGTACTTCCCTAAAAATTTCTCGGCTTGTCTTTTACGATGAACACTGAGTCCACAACCTCTGGTTTCTGCAAAAAAAGAATAGAACGTGTTTTATTTTATTTTTCTTTGTTTTCATGACGATATATCAAGCAAAGTTGGTGACGAAGTTAAGAGCTAAAATGAGACATCTTGAGGTGACCTAGGCCCTCGCGTAACATTATGACGGTGAGTTGTGCAATCATATTGATAGAAGAACGCGTTTTCTTAAGGAGATTAAAAAAATGCATTAAATATGCCATGCAATAAAGAGAAATAAATAATGAACAATGCAATATGACAGTGATAGATAGAACAATTAATACCGAGCTCAAGGCCCAATAACATTAGATACAACTGGGAACAGATATTTAAACTACTGACAGTGTGAATTTATTTAGGATTGGCAATGAGTCTTAACAGGGCAGCACTGATTCCATAGCAGTGTCACAAGGTCAGTTTTACCTCTCTGGTTGATATCTGCTGCAGCTGGATGTGAGTCCTGTTGATCAGGCGGAGCTTCGTGAAGCCATAGTCTGAAATTCGAGCAGCGCTCCAGGGTTTCGGATTCGTCACGAAATGCGAGAGGCTCTCCCAGTTTCCCTGCACGTGGGTCATTGTTAGGTTATCCGATTCACAATTTATTTGTCGGTTTTCTACCGAAGCGCATGTTCCTATCAATGAAACGCTACGGTCGTAGTTAGGCAAATGACTTTTTGATGCGAACAAGAATGGGCCACTGGGAGAAATTTTACAGAATTGTGTTTTTTACAATTTTTTTTAAATTTCGACAATTGTGTGCTATCTTGCAACGCGGTTCACAACTGACATGTCATGGTGGTTGGGCTTTGGACGTGGTGCTTGATTATCCACCAGAAGCCCACGACAGCGAATACCGGCTGCAACGACCTTATTTTGTTAGATACGAAATTCCTGAGGCTCGTGTGTTTAGATTTAGGCGTTTGTAAAAAAAAAAAAACTTCACAAATTTTCCCCAGTTGAAGCTTTCGGGAGTCTTCACTATTACAGCGTCTCACATAAATATATCGCAATTTTGGGAAGTAAAACCTCAAAAGTCATTGCTGTTATTCACAAGGGTATATAAATGAAGGAGACAGCAGGCAAAACTAAAACATCTACATTAGTTCCCTAATTAAAGAAATGAATCTTTTTTGTAATTACATAGATTGTGGTACAATACAACGTAGACACATTCTTGAGATTCCAACAAAGCTGTCAAATGGTCTGTGGTCTTTTTTTTAACCAGAAGTGCAATAGTTGATACAATAGTTAGAGAGAGGTAAGAAGATGAGTGGGCTGTGCTGTACAGCTTCGAAAGTATGCAGTTTAAAAAAGTCTATAATTCCTATTAGAAACTATTACTCGCATGGACATCTAAAAAAGAATTTCCAAGAGCATAGGGCTATGTATCAGCAGCACATACCTTACAATCTTTTTTAAATACTCGTTATCTACATGCAAAAAGAGAGAAATAGGTAACAGTAAAGTGAGGAAGGTACTACGAGTTAACAGATCATGAGCCTCACAATCAAAAAAGCTATATAAAAGGATTACGCGCCTGGATCCGCTTGCTTCTAGTTTCGAGTGTAACCCCTTCTTGCGATCCTCTAGCATTGCTGCATTTCTGTTTTGCATATGAGGGTTGAAGGTTCATGCAATTTTCGTGATGTTGGGCATGCACCAAAATATACGCACGTAAGTAGTGAAGGATAATCGGATATAACCAACGTTTAGGATTTCCTATAAGCCCTACTGTACCCATTAAAACAAATGCAGCAGGGAGCCACGGCAGAACAATGTTTACGTAGAGCAAAGCTCATTTTTCGTCGGTGAATCAACGCAGCACAAAAACAATATGCAGAAGTTCAAAATTTTGAAGTTCACTAAACTAGAAAGAAAGACATGTCTGGATACAGCAAAAAGTTTGCACCATATCAATGTGTGATCCTACGCATAAGTTATAACCTACTAGTTGAAACATATTTTTATACAGGATAGTTGAAAATGATGTTTTGTGTTCGGCTGTTTAGTTGTTGGAGTTAACAGTGCGTGTTGCTTGGCGACAGCCGGGATAACGCAGAGAATTAATGTAGGAAGTAGCTTGACATTTCTACTACTCTGAAATAAAATGTTAACAGTTGCTTATGTTTTCTGGAAAGACTGCGAACGTGGACAAATTGGTATTTATATTACTACGGACGTTTTTAGCAACCAATTTGAGACACTACTTGAAACATAGTCGAGTAATGTGAGTGATAAAAGAATAGTGTTACAAGTTATCAACCACCATCCTCCACATTTTATTATACGCCAATTGCCAAACTTGTGGAGTGTAATTCGGCGGCTCAAAGAAAAATGTGCTTGTAATGCATACAGTAAGCGCAGATACAAATGCAAAATGCATAATGTGTACAACTACTAATGCACAATAGGAATCGCGAAAAAAAAATTCGTGAGAAAACTAACTTGTGAACCACTACTTCGCATTTCATTTCTGACAACATATAGTTACATACACTTTCGAGTATACTGAATTCGATTACACGTGCAGAGGCGACGGAAATCATTGAACTCCGACCATGGTGGCAATAAAATAATAGGTAGAATGATTACTGATAGTTAATATCATAGATAACTCTTTCATCTCTTGATTACCATCCGGGATTAAAACACCTTAAAAGAAATGCGCAAGATCAGTAAGTGTAGAATCCACACAGTTCGCATGTTTTTCCATCCCCACTGTAAACGTTTTGTTGTGGACCAGAGAAACGAAGGCGCTGGTGGATGGTTTTAACTATGCTGAGTAAAAAATGATGATGATGATCATCATCATCAACCTTACTAAACCCACCTGCAGAGCAAAGGCCTTTCCCATGATCCGCCAATCAGCCCGGTCTTGTGCTTCTGCTGCTAAGAGTGAACGTCTTTAATCCCATCGGCTTACCTAACTTTCTGTCTCCTCCTCGAGCGTTTGCCTTCTCTGGGCGTCCAGTCAGTTCCCCTCAATGACCAGTGGTCATCCTGCCCACGCGCTACATGCCCGGTGCATGTCGATTTCTTCTCAGTTTCAACTATGATTTTCTAAGTCCGGTTTGTTCCCTGATCCACTCTGCTCTCTTTTGTGTCTCTTCAGGTTAGACCTAATCATTTTCCTTTCCATCGCTTGCTACGTCGTCCTCGATCCAGGTTGAACCCTGTTTGTAAAACTCCAGGTTTCTGTTCCGTAGATAAGTACCGACAAGATGCAGCTGTCATGCACCTTCCTCTTGAGGGTTAGTGGTAGATTACCATTCGTGATTTGAGAATTCTTGCCGAATGTAATCCACCCCATTCTTATTGTTATCATTATTCTTCCAGTTAGAGCTGTCTGGTACATCTGTGTGATGAAGTGAACATTTATTAAGAATGTTCGAACCGGTCAGTTTCGGACACGCATCGCATTGGAATCATTTATACGTACGGCAGCTCCTGTGACGACGTGTACGGGTGCCCTCGGATTGACGTATGGATCAGTTCCGTTTCCTTTGTACACCTGCAATGAAGACGCACGTCGTTTGTTGCAATGCGCTTAATGTTTTTATCTCCTGTGATTCACCCATTGAAAATTGTTATCAGGAAGAATACCTCGTATCATTGTGGTTTAGTATCCCACATTCATAAGGATTGAACATTTGGTTTTTTTTCATCAAATTTATTATTTGTTGTCCACTATATTGGGGTCAAAATATTTAGAGAGAAATTTAGCCGTACGGCAGTCGCGCAGTTTTACAACCTGATAAAAGGGTCAGAGCTCACGAATAGGAACGCGACAACTCAGGGCTAACTAATACGCGTAGTCCTGTTTCTGAAGCCTTCAGTGTCCTTCATAGCGTAATATGAAATCGAAACTTTACATCGCAGCCAATGTTAGCATTAACGGCCATATTTGCATGACGTGTTTAACATGAGTTAGTGCTGACAGCACAATGTTTCTACTAAAAAAGAAGGACGCATTTCTATACTTGAGGACTGCACATGTGCTGGCGGCTAAAAAAAGTGATTTGAACAAAGCTTTATCCGAAAATCTCTTTCACCTACGATAGTTGCGCGGCCAACACAAGTGAAGCTTCCTGGTGGGTTGTTCCACAGCGAAGATTGCATTATACCCCTGCTACATGGCAAATCTAATGACATTAACAAGAAATGTAATTCATATGTAATGTCCTCTGCTTACTTTCACACCGGTGAAACTACGTCTTCCGAAGAAAACGATATTTTCTGCCGATTGAAGTTCACGAAACGCATTGCATTCGGATTCGATTGGGCACGAATGGTTAGTCTCTACGCCAGAGACCTCTTGAAGTGGCCTTGCGGCACTTTTTCGTCTGCATTCTGCAGCGCTCGAGTTCATGTAGTGCCCTACGCTGAGATGAATCCAAAAAGAATTACCGAATATCGATACTCGGTAACAGTAATATTAGCCTTCAAAATTCAAAACACCAACAGACAACGAGAAAACACGTTATCTTTCACATTTCACTCTCTCAGTGACGTCAAAAGCCGTTTCCAATCACCGCGCGCCTCTTGCAGAAACACACCGGAGTACTCACCTGGTGGTGGCCGTTGTCCTAGCCTTTCTAACATCGTTTTACAATTTTGCACATTAGAAAGTATAAAAAATGCTTCTATAATTTTTAATGCACTATGGTGGGACCTATCTGGGACAATATAAATATAATGCGTGACTTGTGGACTAAGTTCGTTCGCACTTACTCAATTCTTAGTGCTTACTGTTATACAGAGTATGCTATTTTGTTTTTTTGTTCTTTTGTGCTTATCTGCATTTTTTATCCATCGTGCTTATCTGCATTTTTTATCCATCGTGCTTATCTGCATTTTATATATCTTAATTTATTTTGCGCACCGTGATAACGCTTGTTATTATAATGAGTTATTGTTATTGCATTTTTATTAGTTTTTTTGTACTTATCTACACATTTTGTATATCTTACGTTCGCTATTTCGTACTTACCTGTACATTTATATATTCTTATATTTATATCCCTACCACTGTTTGCTACTGCGTTGTGACTCTGATGAATGGTTTTTTAGGAGGTCTCACTCGCAGTCTCGCGACTTTTAGACCTCCTTCTGTGTTTGTAATCAATACATGCAATTTATCACTTGTATGCCAATTTCGAATACAGTACAAATTTCTCATTTCAATTTCAACAAATCAAAACGCACGGCCTGTGTCGTCACTCCCATGTGATGAAGCGTCACTTCGATTACAAAAACAACCGCTGTGTGTCACTTTAGTTCGAAAAGATTGGTAGTTTTTCTGTATGAATAAAACTACAACAGCTTTCTTCTAGGCGTTGCCACTCGCGTAATGATATCTGTGCTTGCCTAGCTAAAAAAGAACCAATGAAAGCTACACGCTTAATTTGTGTCGCAGGGCCCCTTTAAGAGGGTGGTTATGGACTTACACAAACACACACACACACACAACACAGTTAGGGAGGCATTACATTTCACTAAAACATTTTGTGTTCCCTAGAGGGTGCTTCAAACTATGGACACCTTAAGGAAACTTGTATCGCGCTAAATAATGTATATAATACTGGTTTAAGTTATTACTACGAACCACTAAAAAAAAACTCCTAATACGTAAAATTCCTAAAACTCTGGGTGCTACTTTTCCAACACTATGGTAGTTTATTTACTTTTAACCTAAAAGTGTTCTATGCCGCTATTCACCACTGCTGCACTTACGTACTTCCGTTACAGATATGACGTTGTAAAACATATACTAACAGATTGCAAAGAAAACAAACGTGAGAGGCAAAAATATTGTGGTGGAGTGACTTCCCCATCTGATGGGGTCACTTCTCCATTTGCAACGCGCGGCGCTACCCACGAGGACACGGAGCATGAAAATGTCAATATTTGCATTTTATATAAAAAGCACATTTATTTTAACGAATAATGTATTCACAATTCGTGTTTTCATGTTTCTAAATCAAACGATTGAGTTACTTTGGGAGAAAATGGAGCACAAACGTTGCCACAATATTGTGACGATGCGGGATAAATAGCATTTTGACTCACACTGTGGCCTAATTTTAGAAATCTAGTGGTTAAAGTGAAAATATGGCTTATATATGGTTGCATGGTATGCTTTGTTGGTAATACACACGAAATTTTGAAAGAGTAGTTTTTGTTTTAAAAAAGAAAAAGACTTTTCATCTGAACAATGACAAGGTAGTGTAGAGATCGCCTTTGCCTCGTTCCACTGCGTTGCACGTAATTGCAAAGTTTCTGCGTGGTTTTTCGGCTGCAAATAAGGCGTGTAATACAAATTCTTGTCACTTGTTTCAGTAATAGTGCTGTATAAAACGTCAAAAAAAAAGGGCAATAGTGCTTATTTCATGAGTTGGTATCGGCTCCTTTGAACCATCAAATGGCAGGTTATATTTAACCGCTTCATATTCCCAAGGGGCCCAATTGTAATAGCAGTTGATGATGTGCAACACAGTATTACGGCGTTGTGTTTCGGTTTTGATAAATGTTGCACGTGGTCTTAACAATAAATAATGACATACTTTTGGTGTAGTTTACTTAAGGTCTTTTTGTACTATTTCAGGTATAGGCCAATGTGCGTGATGAAATGATGTATCCTAGCTGTACGTTTGTACTGTGGAGCATCAGTCATTGAACATTGTTACTATGCCAATGATTTTATTTTATGTGGTACCCGTTGCAATCACTTGAACTCGAAATGCGAACACAGCCGCCGCCACTAACAAGGCTCACGTTAGCACATACAGCTTTAATTTTCGATTTTTGCGTTTCCTACGCATGGAGGGGGAAAAGGAGAACAATAAAAAAGAAAACAGTCATTGTGCTTATGCTTTTATGTTGCATAGTATTGTGTGAGCACTTTTCAAAAGAGCTGGCAAAGATAATCCTATATTTCTAGCTGCCCTTGAAAGCTTTGTGCCTCCGTACTCACCACTCCGTCGTAGACAGGCCATAGACGCTCATACGAATGCTGGTGGCCGGTAAAATGCAAGTCCACTCCGTACTTGAAGAAGAGCTTCTCCGGGCCATACATCTTTGTCAGGGGAAATCCCTTGCGAGCCTAGGAGGGGTGCATACAATTTATAGCGAGAGGTGCGTGAAGGAGCTGTTCCGCTACCAGCAGTGAAAAAAACAAAACAAACAACGAGAAACAAGAGACGTAAACACAAATAATGCAACCTATGTCGTTAGCTATGCAACCAGCACGAGGAGAGCAGCATATTGTAGCGGCGGCTGCGTTCGTACCGTTTGTCACCTCAACAGGAGTCAACTAACATTAAGCATGTTTAGTTTTATTAGTAATAGTGCTTAACAGACACGAAAAGATAAAATAGGCCCAGCAAAAAATCTTGTGTAGTAATGTTGAACACTACCCGTATATTTTGCCTTCTCTCGTTTTGGCTAAACAGTTATATACTCAAAAGAAAAAAAAGAAACGTCCTAAACGCTGTGACAAGTCCGGAGAACGTTCGCCGATTCAGTTGTTTTATATCGATAAGATATTGCGTAGCAGTCCAAGAATTTATGAACGCACAGCAAGTTTTTTTCTTTGCAGATGCTAAATTTCGCGCAATGTGATTACTGACTAATTTGAAGTAAAATATTAATTGGAAGATACAGAGCATCTCAATGCATGTTAAACCGAAGGATTTTCGGCGAAATTATTGTTGAGAGAAGGCTGGTGCTGGGTGCTGAATTTGTTCAAGTACAATGGCAATCATAACTAGTACATACATAACACGTTCCAACAAGGTCATTATTCGTTCTTGCAATTGTTTTATTGTACAATTCCTGAATAAAGTTTCATTCACAGTTTTCTGAAGACGGAGCAAGGCGTCAACAGTGATCTAATTGCGTTTACAATTAATTTTATCTGATAAATATAGAATTACGAAGTCAATGGCAATTAAAAGTACAGGGCAAACTTTAGGCGCATTTATGTACTTTTCATAATTCCTACGGAGTCTAATCTGGCATTGGTGAATATCCCGTGCTCCAGAACTATCTCTTATAACTTTAGCACGGAACTCTAAGGTGCCAAGTTTCCGCCATACTGTGCCTTAGAATGTCGAAAAAAAAAAAACCAGCTACGCTCTGAGAACCTTTGTACTTGTCTTCTGAGCTAAAATTATTTGTTTGTTTCTCTTATAGTGCTACACAGATCACGTTACACACGCATCTAGAGGGAAGTGCGTAAATGGCGTTATGTTTTACGTCTTTGCGGAAATGACGTTTCGTACTCACTCCGGCATCGAGAGCGTTTTGGGAACACGGCTGCTGAATTTTAAAGACGATAGTCTTTCTTATGACTGTGGTCGTTTTAATGTGAGCGAGCCTGAGGAGTATGCAAATCTTCTTTTGCGGCGTGCGGTTAGCTACTGCTTTCAACCTCTCCTAGTACCTTTATTACGCGGCATTATCGAGCCTGTGAGCACTCTGTGCTAGTAGCACAGGAAAGTATAGGTCCACGCTACACGTTAAAGAATACAGCATTGTCCCGAACCCACGTTCGCACTTAGTAATTTCATTGTGCAAGTTACAACGACTGGTTCCTAATTCGAAACTCAACGATGACTGAATAATGACATTTAAAATAGGCGCAGCACGCCAAAGAACGCCAGTGAACGTGATCGGTTCAAGTATGAATATTTGAAGGCGTTCAATATGTTTGCCACGAACCGGGTAGCTCGTTTTCTGATGGAACATGCTCAATGAAAACATATTGCAACTGTAGCTTACAATACTTTCTTCTGAATTGCAGTCTCTAAATCCAGTATTGCTGCAGTACATTGGTCTGTGGGACATTGTGATGATCCATGGTCTTTTCGACCTGTTTTCTGGTAGATTTGCCTCCTGAAAAATGGTGGGCGGCAGCTGTGCAAGTGACCCAAAGCAGCACGCCGTTTCGAACGTATCGCGTTTCTTTATCGTGATATTTATTTATCACAAATATCTATCTATCTATCTATCTATCTATCTATCTATCTATCTATCTATCTATCTATCTATCTATCTATCTATCTATCTATCTATCTATCTATCTATCTATCTATCTATCTATCTATCTATCTATCTATCTATCTATCTATCTATCTATCTATCTATCTATCTACTATCTATCTATCTATCTATCTACTATCTATCTATCTATCTATCTATCTATCTATCTATCTATCTATCTATCTATCTATCTATCTATCTATCTATCTATCTATCTATCTATCTATCTATCTATCTATCTATCTATCTATCTATCTATCTATCTATCTATCTATCTATCTATCTATCTATCTATCTATCTATCTATCTATGGCACATACATACATACATACATACATACATACATACATACATACATACATACATACATACATACACATGTTAACTTGGAACACTGCTGACAAGCAGATAAATACCCTTTGTGTAAATCACATAAAAAATATGAAAATGATAAATAAGGTTATCTGACAGGGTTGCACAAAGCATGTAAAACTTTTCCCACCATGGCCAAACGAGTACCTGGAGGTCTTTCTCTAACCAGCGATATTGCCGGGGAACCTGCTGCCAGCCATACTTGAGGTAAAAGTAGAACTCCGTCGAATAGCTGATAATGTGTGCAGGGCCAATGTTGAAGCTGTGATAACAAAACATTGTCCAAGTTTAATTTTAACGAATAGTGACACAAGTAATCTAGGAAACATACAGAATCTCGTCGTTTAAATGCAGGGTCAACGTTTTAAGACGTGAACTTTTGAACATCCGCTAATAGCTTGACTTGGAATTTGTATTCGCAATCACCACTTCTGCATATTATTTTATTGCGATAGCAAGCAAACAATCTCTCTCGACGAGTTTTTGTCATCGCCGTCATGTTCCGTGCGAAGCTCAAATCAAGCACATTCCTCCGCTCATCACGTGCTCTACCCGAGGATGAAAGCACGCAAATGGGGTAGCGAACGCGGCTTAGGCAGGGTTAAACGAGACGATCAACCATCGTTGCATGAGACAACATCACCCAGCTTGCCGTCGATTGCTACTCAAGCCGAGAGAAAACGTCCCGCTCGTCTTGAACAAGTATTAAAAAAACGCGGTGGTGAAGGGCTGCTCGAGCAGCAATTTTGAGTTTTTATTTTATTTTATCTCGGCAGGCATCAGAAGATCGTTTGTACACCCTTTTAGGAGCTGCGCTGTGAGCGAGATTGGACTGTGCGGAAAGTACTTCTATTAATGAAGCAGCCATATTCTCTTGCATTACGTTTTGTAGAGTTGCACGAGACCGGACCCAACCGAGTTAGCAACTAGTTTTATCTTACATATTGTTACAATTTGTTGCTGTCGCATTCACTGCTTCACTCTTGCGGAAAAACTGCGATTTGTTTTTTCATCTGCATCAGGGCTGACAAAACTTGAACTACATTGGCGATCGAGATATACGTACCCGCTGGAAACAGTGTTATTTATGAGACCCAGTGTGAGAGAGCACTGAGATTGGTTCAAGTATCAATCGTCAAGTTTTACTATAGATTGATACGTATAGAGCGAAATGCACAGTAAACCACAACCCATGTGTTTTATAGGCCGTACGAAAAATCATAAAGGTTTTGTACTGTACAAGGAAGAGACAAGAGCTTTTTCAAGTGGATATTTCATTTATGGAAAGAATATCCACGCGTCGTCTTACCTGTAAAAAAAATTGTTGAGTGTTCCAGACTTGTCCATCATGGAAAATCGATTTGCGTAATTGGAGAAGTTGCTGTGAAGTAAAAAAAAAACGGTCGTTGTAAATAGAGAGACAACAAACAATAAATATATAACAGAGGCATGTTTAGGTGCAGAAATTGTCATCAGCTGCTCTTATGAAAAAAATATTGGCAGGAGTTTCCTAATTTATATATATTAGTAACTGCCAGTTGAATAAGGACCCCCAAAATAATTGTTAGTTCGCCATTTTTTTAAATTGAAGGAGTTGTTAGCACTGCGTAATTTAGATTGGTTTTTATGTGTCTGACGTAACTATGGTTTCACAAAAAAAAAAACAAAGCATTGCGTGTGCGTTTTTATGCACCCTTTCTAGGCACACGATATCTGCTTCTAAAGAGTACAGATTCACTATGAACACAGAACATCTTCTGGTCATGTGACATCGCGCCGTACCAACCGTGTTATAACTAAACTGCTGCCGGGCTGAGACAAAATTGGGTACTTACTATTTGCTTTCATGGTTGCCGACGGCGGTCATGTAAGGAACATAAGCAGCGATCGGCTCAATTTGTCGCATGAATTCATCCCCGACCTTCGCATCTTTCTGCCGAAAAACATTTTCACTTAAATATAGCGGGGGCACTTCGGTTATGAGAATATTATCTACGTTGTTTTACTAAATATGCAATAGTAATAGGTAACGTGCTGCTTCGACTTGGAAGTAGATTCTCAAGTTCTCATCGTGTCCAGTGCCCCAGAAAGCTGTTGCACCGTAGACGTGCATTTAATGAAACATGAGGATACTGAATCATCACTCACCAGCAAATGAAGAATAATTTCAAACTACCAGCGTATTGCTTTGATTGATTCGCTAAAAAACCAGTTAAATAAATGTGCTTCAAACATCAATGCGATCTACTTGGGCTATTTTGGAGCGTTAAACTACATAAGCCACCCAACTAAAGCTTTTTGGCCATAATACGCCCTCCCCCCCTGCCTCCCTCCCGAATCCCTAACTGCGTACGCTTTAAAATTTTATCTTTGACGTTTTGAGCATTTTTGGCTTTTCAGTGTTAATTCCAACTTCGGAATCTATATTAATATTGTGATGTCCGGCGTCCTATGCTGTTTTTTTCCTTGGTTCTCAGTTTGCAACACGGATCTCTAGAATGTTCTGCATAAACCTTGCAACACATATGAGAAAAAAAATTGTTTATTGCTATTATTTTGTTTTATTCTATCGGCTTTTTGGCGTAGGTAACAGGCTCGTTATAAAAATTTTCAGGTGTTTCTTCTTGCGAAGCTTTGCAAATATTTCGGCTTGGCAAGTCCTTTCGTAAGTTTCCGTTTGCGATTCCAGAGAGAAGTCTGTTTTTCAAATTGAAATTCCTGGACTACCGACGGCAAATGGGTACCAGCGTTCGTGCAAAAAAGATCTTAATCGTAGCTGATGAGAATATTCAAGGAGCTTACACTCCTTGAATATTCGTGCATTTACGTGATTTTACGACACCCTTAAATTATGAAACAACGACAACAACAAGAAGAAGAAAAACATCAATAAAGAGAAAACATATACATGCCAGGATATTCTTTTATCGACATCCGTAGCTAAAGTTTTGCTTTTTTGAGTGCAGCAGGCATTGCAAAACCTTTAACTATGATTAGTGTCACAGGATGTGTTCACAGAGGCAGGACGCTGTCGTTTTGCACAACTGTTGACCCAAACTTTTTTTGTGTAATCACAATATATAACTTTGGCAAAGTAGAAAAATAAATGGCAACAGTACTGTCATTATTTACCTCTACACCTGAAAAAATTGATCAAAAATTTGTGCCCTAAGAGCGCAATAACCAATAAAACTTTTTGCCTTATACATATCGCCCGATGTTGTCTGCTCCAAGGTCACTCTTTCTGCTCTCACGTAATACAAGATGTAGCCAATAAAGTTCCATTCAACCTCTCGTTTCAGTCGTGCTGGCGTGAGTTCTCATTTCATGTCGACCGACTTTCCGGAAGCACTTAGAGCCACCTGAACTTTGTAGAGAAGGCATTAACCACGCTTGTTTTATATTTGACAACTTCAGACGAGTTATTGCGAACGTAGCGATCACCTCTTCTGTGATTTGCTACATGCACTTAATAGGCACTCGCCACAAATTCAGAGGTGGTAAAAGAGAACTTACGGCGTACCCGTTCATTTCGGCGGTATTGATTCGTGCCATGTTTCACAGCCTATGGCTTATACATTTTCTAACGAGCGACCACTCAAGATCAAATGGAGCCACTCGCGAAGCAAACCAGCCAGTTAAGCTTTAGACGAAACGGAACGACATGCTAAATGAAAAGATGAGCGGCCTTTATGACAGCTTCTTTATGTACGCAGTTACAGTGAGTCGGATGTCTGAGGCGAGCACAGTATTGTAGACGGAAGTAAAAATAGCATTAAAAATGGGCGCATCATGCTTAGAAGAGCAAGGCTGGAACAAACAGCTGAGCTAGTGTTCGACCTAGATTCTCATGAGTTATTTTATAAGCTTCCCATAATTTTAGACACGTGACAAGCTGTTACATGATGCTACGTGATTTTAGTCACGTGGCTAGTGGTTACGTAATGTGACGTCAATTTTAGTCAGCCGCCTAGTGTTTACGTGATGTTGCGTGATTTTCAGTCAGAAGACTAAATGTCACGTCCTGTTACGGGATCTTCGTCCCGTGGGCAGAAGTCACGTGACGTTACGTGATTATGAGACGCATGAGCCGTTTGGTGATGTTGCATAATTTAGTCACACGAACGGTTGCGTGAAAGTACGTGAATTTTGTCACTTGACTGAGTACCAGAACTCACGTGATTTCTAATCTGCTAACAGACTCGACCGTCAGGTTAGGTTAGGAGGTTGTAGGTAGCCGGCAGATCTGGCCTCGCATAATTTGCAGGCGATTGCGCCACCCGCTTTTTTCTTTGCTAATTGTAGCTAATGTCCTTTGTTTATTTTTAACTAAGCAACAGAAGGCTCTTAAAATAAAAATTGTGTATAGCGTGACGTAAGCCTGCATAAGACGGCGGCCTCTGTGCTATTCCACACGCAGTATTGTGCGGGTACTCTATCTCACTGTACCATACCCCAAACATAGTTATTGCATTCCACGCCGGAAAAAACCTGCGTATGTACTGTGGGAGGGAAACAGAAGACGAAAAAGAGCATGAGGCAAGCCCGTGCCGTTTTCTAATGACGATAATTTCTGTTCACACCATCCAGAGATACGAGAAGTTTGAAGAGCTCCGCCGTTAAAACCGACCCCACTTACTCTCTCCGAGAAAAACTGTAGCATTGTGCGAACCATGTAATGTAGTGAGGTGAATGCAAACTAGGGCACATGCATTGCTTTTTTAAGCTAGGTATGCGCAACAGCCGACAGCAAGCCCACCACCGCATACACTTGACCACGTACAATTAGCGAAGCGTAGTCGACTAGAACCAAATGTTAGCCAAGAAAGTAAGCCACCTTTGTATCCAACAGTAGCCGACAATAGCAAGCATAAGTATTTGATGATTTGAGTTTATTTCATAATTATTTTATCGTTCAGTAATATTCTACAGTCAATATTCAGGTGAGAGTCCGAGTGTCTAATGTCTAGCAGCGTCCTGTGGTGGCACACACACCCACCCACAAAGTTAGCATACGAAAGATTTGTGAAACATACAGCAATAGTCTGAGTACAGCGACTAATTAGTCATTCCCACTATTTGCACATATAGTAACACTCTTTGTACTAAGAACAATTATTGATTTCCATTATTTGGATACCGCGTGCTTAAGCGTACGTAAGGTATGCAAATAGACGGAAAGATCCTTATGACACTAAAAACATGGAAAAAATTTAAGAGTTTTTCGCTATTGGGAAAATGGCAAAAAGCGAGTTACACCCTTTTTTACTCTAAGGTAATATCACAATTACTGCACTTGCACAAAAAATTGTTACAAATTTCGCCCCTTATGTTTTCTTCGGCTATATCATCTGTCTTTTTCGTATTTGTGAGCCTTACAAACACAAGAAAAAAAAACGGCTCTCTCGATTCCTAGCCCTGTATTCTAACGTTCAGTAACGTAGAGAAAAGCATGTATCAAAAATTGCACTTGCATAGAAACAAAACAGAGCTGTGTAAGAAGCTATGGTTCTTTATTAACAGAATAGCATAACTGTTTTGCAATGAAGGTCACTATTTCTAAGCTTAGGTTCTGGAGACGTTTGTATAACTTACCCTGAAGTACAGTGCATCATTACATTGTAATAAACAATGAATAACAAGAAATCAAGGCTAAAATGAGAAAAAAAGAAAGCAAGAGGCCACGACCTTGGTAAAGAGGGGAAAAGACTAGCCACAGGTCTCATGAACATGCTTGGGTGATTGTCTTTTAACAGCTACCAGCACTCCAGTGCTAAACAAGTCCACCAGATTCTATTCTACGCCTTCGTCCAAAAAAAAAAAATAAATCAGCATTTCTCCCGAACGCAAGAAAACGGGACAAAGAATTAATGAAGATGCTGCATTCATTTGCGTAGACAGCTGCCAACAGCGGAGTTCCATTTTTCTGTGCTAAGGAATGGAAGTCCACGAAAAATTAATAGCCTTCTGTCCACTTTCCCGACTCATTATCTGATACGCGGTTGGCATGTTTCTTCCTGTTTGCTCAAGTGACCTTTCAAAACGCAGTGAATGACTATGCAGCCTTCGCAAAAAGAAAACTTAGTAGAAGCGTATCAGTTTAAAGGAAGCTGCCCACGAGGAGAATTATCGAAAAGAAATCATCCTTAGATATCCCGCTACGATGTCTTAGAGGGTAAGTTTCATTGGGCCATACACGAAACCACACTGATCACGGCCCCGCTCGTGAGACTCCTGCGACGGAATATGTGTACAAGTCACTTTCTTACTCCTATAGCTAAAAACTGAAACATATACGTACCGAGTGCATGTCGTAAGCAAAGTCCCCTAAATGTAGAAAAAACAAATAGAAATAAAAAAACGCGTCAGTAAGTTTTATGGTTAACGTTTCGAAACGGCTTTCGAGTAAGCCGAAAGAGCTGTCAGTTGCTCGTATTTTAATGAGGCATCGTTACGAATACTGGATGCTTGCAAATTCTGCTGGGAAAGCCATTACAGCTCTGGATACAGTGTTGTCCGTATGTAGTATGGGCTCTTCATGAGCATACGAACTGTTTGCTGTAAGCCACAAAGTCATTAATAAGTCTGCACTTTGCCCGAGTCAAAGGCCTCTCCGCATGTTGTATATTCACTTTATCGCTGTCTGGTGAACAGTCATACACTGTAACTCTGAACGCATAAAAAAATAATACATGATTCAAGAGCCGCATCAACATTCCTTCTCACCCCGACTAAGTTTTTTGATAAGATGCTTCTAGAAAAAAAATTGAGGTCATGTCGTCAAACCTGTTGGCTTCACTGGTGAGCTATTACGGAACTATGGCTTCGTGAAAGCTTAACATTTGAGAAAAGACTAACACATTTGTTTACAGGGCGCAATGTCAAACATTTTACAGACATGAAGATTTTGTCTCTATGACACATTATCTGTTATATTTGTGCATTCATATTTCTCTTGCGTTTTCAGTGTTCTTTGCTGTAATTCTAGATTTTCTTTTTTATTTAGTTCTGCACTCATCGTAACAAATCACTCAAAGGTTACCGAGTTCATTGCCTCAGTACACAGTCATTGTCAACAGAATCAAGAAACCGGTGAGCAACGGAGGGAAGATTGGTTTGAATATATGTGTGATAACTGTTAAGCTTTTACGTCCTAATCACGACGTCATTATGAAGGATGCCGTAGTGGAAGAATCCAGAAATTTCAACCGCCTAAGGTTCTTTAAACACGCACCTAAATCTAAGTACCCGGGCCCCTAGGATTTCCCCGCAGTGAAATGTGGTCACCGTGGCTGGGATTCAATCCCGTGGCCTTCGGGTCAGCAGTCGAGCCCCAATTTCAAGACGACGAAAACATTGGCTACACACTGACAGTCCAGAGATTTATTATCTCCGCGCTTGAAGATCTTTCTTGATTGTGTAATATGACACGCATGAGATTAACTTTGCGATCTGTTCGTAGTGCAAAGTTTCTTCCCTGCACGTCCTCGGATCACGAGTATAGTTGGAGCTTGTACCTCGTATGTCTCCAACAGATCTTCGAGCATTCACTATAACTCTAACCCCAAGCGAGCGTCATCTTAGCACTGAGGCAGACTTTACTACGACAAGGCAGAAGGGTTACCAGTTTTATGAGTCAGCTGACTACCTCTTTCAGAGCGATTGCTCAGGTCCCGTCGGTACATTATATATACTTCCTTATTGGAGTTCTTCATTTTCTTATACCTCTTTCCGGATGGCTTATCGGCATATCAATAATATATAGCAGAGGGGTATACAATGTATACTGCGCAGTGGGATCACGCGTATTGATAATGCATCCTGCGATGTCATAACAACGGAGACAAGAAAACAGATGCGTGCCTCAGAATCTATCCATGCAAGAGGGTCATTAGCGCAGCACACATACTTTATTCAACTGCCACTACAGACAATTGATCCGAGCATGTCGACGGGGTGCGTTGTTTTGGCATTCCCGCTTTAGCCGCGAAACGTACTCAGCGTCCTTGGAGGCCTCTTAACCTTTCCTGATGAACTCACTGATGCGGGTCTACACCATGGCAGTAGAGAGACGATGGAGGGGGGTGATCTTTTTTTTTGAAGTTTATTCAGACAGTCATGGTCTGGGATGAAGGGGCTAAAGGCAGATGCAACTGCCTGACAAAGGCCCCCCTACCCATACAATGCTCAGGGGTGGAAAGCCGCGGTACATGCGCAAATACAGGTAACAAGAAAAGACAAAAAAAAACAAAACAAAAAAGAACAGGCGCACAGGCGATCAAAACACAATATGCCTCCAGCCCTACTGCCTCCAGCCCTACTGCTGCCTCCAGCCCTACTGCTGGAGGCATTCTGCGACTTTTGCTAATGGGTGGCTTATTGCGCACGAGTGATATAGGTAGAGTATAAGACTTGTTGCTGCGCTATAGTTGATTGATGTCAGAGGGATACTTATTAGCGCAAACTGAAAACAAAGTTTTGAGAAAGAGATGGGATGGATGGATGAAAAACATTTATTGGGGTTCTGAAGGATTCCACCCCCGTTTTATAGGGGTAGGATCGCGGGCCGCTCCCACGTTGGGACGGGAAGGATGGGAGGATGCAGAAAAATCGAGTGCTAACGCCCTTCAACGTGAACAGGTACAGTAGTCGCGGATCGAAACGGGGCAATTTCGGGCTGAGTAACGCACATAGTTTCGTTTGCACAGTCTTAGATTTGCATCATATCGGAGTAACTTCGACTCGAACGCGCATATACCAGAGCCGGCATCATCTTTAGAAACGAGACACGTCACCACATGTCGTGGTCATCTCAAGCAAACGCGAGTACTAGTAATTATTCTAGAGAAAAGAAATGTCGCCTTTGAATCCGTGGATACTGTAATCGCTTCTTACGCTGTTTTCCTGTTGGCGGTTCCAGCAGCGGACTAGATTATCTTTTTTTTCGTGTAACTGAATCTAAGTAAAACCATTGTCTGGAGTAGGCAAACACAGACAAAACGAAGTGGTGTAGTGAGCAGCCAACGAAGTTCCCCGGAGTTTAGTTTTTTTTTTTTGCTTTAGGACCAAGCGCTAATGAAACTGAGGCAATAGGAAACTCTGACAGACATTCGATGGTGTTAGTGAGCTCGTGTATTCCAAGTTTCACCCTGAATGTCTCGAATATCTTTAGCAATTGAATTATTACCACCAGGTTGTATTTAGGAGAATGCATAAAGTCGTGGGTTAAATTCGCAGCCCCGGTGCAGAATTTTGACGCGTGCTGAATGAAATAACACCAGTGCAAGATTACACTGACGAATAGTACTCTATACGGCATGATTCATACTCAAAGTTTGCTTCTGGTACATAACTTAGCCCGAATATTGGTTCCCAAGTCGAAACACTGTTCCTGAGATGTGGCACTGTTGCCAGATGAATTTACGAAGAAGGGCGATGGCACTTTCTAAGACGTAATGCGGAAGTTTGCAATCTCCCAGAATTATCGGGTATAGCTGAATAAAAATGGCACGAAATCGAAAAGAGTAGCGCGAAGACGCACACGGATGGCGACGTATCAAGGCGTGACAAAACTAGCCCATCAGTGCATACTTTTTTAAAGGGTAAAATTTCTTAGCGTTCACCTGTATGTAAAACGGCGTCGATTTCCTTTGTCTGAGCTTCCCGCTGCAACACTGGCAATGAGCGAGCGTTCGCGCTGCCGAGGTCTCCGAACACAGCAATCGTGGCGTTGCTGCTGTCCCACGTTGCCACTCGGAACATGTACAGAGCGCTCCATGCATCGGAGCTCCCACAGTGATACACTGCGTTCAGAAAAAAAAAAGCTTTGATCTTGTCTCTAGTAAACAAAATACTCCTAATATCAGTTGATAGTATGTGGACTGGTGCTAATAGTTGGTGCAGTTGTGCTGTGTATGGCATAGTCTGGTGCGCAGCCTAGTCAAGTCTTTTCAGGCTGTTTGTCCGTTCGCCAAACATCTGACAGATGTTGGATGAAATTGCGTTGAAATAAATAGCACCACGCTGGTAGGCCCCGAGCTGTTTCATACGTTATTGAACGTGATGTGACATTCTTGAGAAAGGCGCAAATCGGAAGAGCAGAAGCACAAATAACCCATTAGCAGCGCACACATTTCTCCCATTACTATGCTACGCTTAGACAGCAGACCGACGGATCCCTAATGTCGTCGGTCCCGATATTAAAAATCTGTCTAGGACAAATTTTTGTTCAGCTCCGAAGTCCTCATTGCGAGAAACACACGCCCCTTTTTGTAAGTTTGAGGCTGCATTCGGATGGATGACAGTGCTTTTAAAGATCACTAAAATGGCACAGAGCAGTGAAGTGTGCTGAACTTCAAAGCACTTCTCTGAAGCGACATTGGCCAAGCACCGGAAACAGGCGTGAGTGCAGCTGTCGCCACTCGTAGCTCAAATGCACTCCTCTTTCTCTGCTTTTCTTTTTCCGGTTCATTCGCAGCTCTTTTACATTCGGTCTTTCGAAGCGTCGAACTTAACACCACTGGATTGCTGAGAATTTTGAAATTATTTCAAGCAGTCGATTCCTGAAAGGTGATCTTGGATGAAACGTTATATAGCACTATTTGACGCATATACGTAAAGCACTTCAGTACACGCTCTTTCAAGGTTGGTATACGCACACATACACGTTATCAAAAAAACTTTTTATGTCTGTATGAGAAACGCCACCAAGCAGACATGAGGGCACAAAAACACTTGACAAAATAGTCATGAACAATGAAAAAATTGACTCAACTTACTATATTCAGCGTTTGCTTGGAGATTCTTAAGCAATACTCGATGAATATACAGAACCCTCTTTTTCTTTCCTCCATCCAGGAATCGAGTTTGTGGAGCCTCGAGCAACGTAGTAGAAACCCGATGGACCGTACTCAACAGTGGGAGTGCCAGTACGATCGAAGGTTACCCAGGTGACCATCCTTTCATATTCATTGGCTGTAAAATAGAGAGAAAGAACATAGAAGGGCACAAGGAGCTCGCAGTTAGATTAACAAGAGATAAGAACACCCGTTATCACCACTATTTCTTCTTTTGCAAGTGTCCGTTATAGGTTGGGGCGTTACAACTCGACGGGACGCACAGGAGCGATACACGCGACAAAGCACCCTCTCATGCGTCTTGTCAAATTGTTGCGCTATGCAACAGTGGCGCAGCTATGCCAACACGTCCAATATTCAACCTTTGAAAATTTCGTCAAGAGCACCATTAAGAGTGTAGTTTTTTTTCACCACAAAACAAAGTAAGGCGTAAATGCTGGGCGTAATCGTTTGACAGGAAAAGCAGCCATTCCTGAGCATGCGCAGATAATTTTTTATGGCGACAGGTAATCACTTTTAACTAATTCGCCTTTGAAATTTTGTTTTTCATCTTCCTAGTGTTTAATTACTCTGTTATCACAAGTACAAAGATGAACAAGTCCGGGGGTCAAACATTCGTTCAAATAGGTCGTTCATTGTGGTCGGACCATGTAACTGTGTGCACTGAATACACAGGTTGATCGTATTCACTATAATCATTTCTCGATATTTTCAGTTAAAGCAGATCCTCGAGCCAACTGATAGCTAGCCGCGGTAAAAGAATAGCACTAATATTTCGTGCAGATGCACACTGTTTAATCACCCTAAGCGTTTGTTCGTACATATATTCATCTCTATTTGAAACGCTAAGTGAGCTTCTCTGTTTACGCGTGCACCTGAGTAAGAAGGCTGTGATAAAGCCACCTCTCATGTGAGAAATATCACAAGTGGTTACGTTGCATTTGGCTTAGAGCTCATGTAGAAAATCATTCCTTCGTACTAACATTTCCATCTAGCGATTAAAGTGTGTTCTTGCCCTACTGAAAGCCGACGCTCTGTCAATTCGATGGATGATTGCTTACAACCAAAATGTACAATCGACCTCCTAACTTTTTTTCATTGGCTCTATTCTTTCTGCTTTTCGTAAGATGACGCTCCTTCTTTGATGCTGCTAGTGGCGGTGTTGCCTAATAAATACGAGCCGTCACCAACGGTCTTCGTGTAGCACCTTCACAAGCAAACGAATATGCTTTTATTGATATGCACAGGCTATCCAGAATAAGTCCACCTATGATTAATTAATCTATCAATAGTATTCGCATTCCGGAGAAACGTTTGTGTTCCAGAAGGGGGGGGGGATGCAGACGGACATTGATCGTTATGACGGGCAAACGTATTATGCACAGGTTTTCTCGGGAAGGCGATTACGAGGTGCCTCTCGCTTCCGCCACTCTCTTCGAGTGGATTACCGGTTCTAAGACCATTGAGGTGCCGTCATAATTGGTCTCAAAATAGAGTCCAATGAGTTTTCGAACTTCGCAGGAAACACACTTTGCCCGCCACTCTGCTACGCCCTGTAATCTTATGAGCGGTCGTTCTGTGTCGAGTATGGTGTTTCTAGGCAGAATGGGAAGGTGTTGGTGTAGCTTGGCACGCGTACCGGAGAGCCCTCGCTAAGGTCTGCCGCGCACCGCGAGCGGAGGCGTCGTTGGACGTTCACTGCAAGGGCACCGCGGCGCGAGGTTAATAATCGGTGTCTCAGCAGCTTCGCGAGGCCATCTTGACAGGCGCCTTGCACGGTCCACATTTGCAAGGGAAGCTCGTTAGCGCGACGGAATACCGGTTTTAATTAACAGCGCTAGTCAGCGAATTTCGAGCAGCTGCGTGTTTCTCTGTAAAACAACCGCCTTAGAGAGAAATACGATCGTTGTTCGTTAACAAGCGCAAGATGGGCTTATATCGAAGTTGAACTGTGAATATTCAATTTAGGCACAGAGATTCTTTGGCTGAAATGCAGAGTTGTTCCCTCTCGATGACACTATTAAAAAAACGCGACACTTCGATGTTTTGAAACCTGAGGCCAGCATTCGTGTGCTAATGAGTGTGTGCCATTCTTTGGGTGCGCTTGTCGCGTGCTCGTCAAGAGACTCAGGCATTTTGTGTAAGATAAAGGCTTGCGGCCCACTCATTTCTCACATATGTGTTCATCATTATTCTTTTTTCACACAATGACACTGGCGAGAACATTCCTTGAATTAGGTCTCTGGTAGTTGTTCAACAAGAAACTGTTTGTCCTCCTCTGGGAAAGCTCTCGATAATAAAAAATATCGCCAATTTCTCATCTTTGATCCGAAAAGAAGCGGCGTGCATTTTGTGGTGCAACACAGGAGACCGGACACAATAGCGTCTGTTGAAACAACGCGACAACGAAAGTTATTTGAGTCGCTGAACATTTTTTTTTCCGAGGCTTCCTTCCTTCCGCTTTCCAACTGAGTTTGTACACGGAAGCATTTTTTTTTACGGCAAAGCACATCAGGATGCGTGAGGGCGCGCTGTGGAGCCTTCTGCATGTAGTGAAAAACAAAGGAATGTAACCAACCAGTGCTCCGTAAGCTGAAGTATGAAGCAGGGGTGCAAACAATTCTTTTGAACTGCATACAGCACGAATATTTACTTTTTTTCTTCAGATATCCACGCGTGAGCTGATTTGAACCGTTTAGCAATGTGCTGGTGCTTTGAGAGTAAATCATGACGCATGAAGTAACTTGAACTGCATTGATAAAAAAAAGGGCAAAACACACTCTCTCAAGCTTTTGCGCAACCGACGTATTGATCGTAGGTGCATTTGCAGTGCGTCGTTGCGAATTTTGTAAAACAAACGATGCTATACCACTGGCCACAACGTGTTCTCATCTGGTCAATTATAATCGATTGTTTGTTACTAAAAACTACAGGACAGTTGTTTTTATTCCTAGACGAGGACGTGTAGTTATAAGGTGAAGCAGGAGCTCGGCTGAGTCAGTGAAATGTCATGGATTATTAGGACCACATGCGTGAAGCCACAACCCTGTTCAGTGCCATACGCACTCTGCGTCTGCACTGTTCGCTGGCTTTTGCAACCGAATCGACAAAACGTGTCAAAGTGATGAAAATTTAGTGAGCAAAACAGGGACGATATTGGTAGTGGGAGAGTGCTTGTTAACGCGAACTGCAATATAAGGGGAAATGAATATATAGAGGAAAAGTACGAGAAGAGAAAGAGAAAAGCCTATAAAGTATCGGTGTATGATAAGTGAAGATCAAACGAAATATGCTGCTCTTAGATGACCTGGCGAAAAAGGAAACAAAACAGGGCCTTCTACTTAGTACCAGCTAGGCCTTATTTATTATGGCAAAATGTTAAAGCAGATTCACATCTGTCAATTATAATCAATGGTGCAGGTCACACGCCCAAGTTAGTCGTAAAACGACTGGTCACAAGGGGTGGCAAATGACCACTTTGGACTCAAAGCAACAGGGTTGGCTCAGCCATTTTCTGCTTGATTTTTTTAGTCGCGCGTGTATGGTTTCGAATCCCTGCACCAGTCACACCACCTTACTGCATGGGGCTATGGCAATGCAAGCAGACATAGATCGTGTGTGGTGGTGCGTATAAGATCGCACGGAAGTGTAAACATTGGTCACGTATAGAGCAGCTTGTTGGTCACCGTTCGCGAATGGTCGCATGACCGGTGCATGTCGCAGGTGGGAATGTTGCCTTGTGAGTGATCAAACCCGGAAAGTGGCACTGGGCGTCTGCGTGAAAAAAAAAAAAAAGGGGGGGATGAGCTAAATTGTCATTGTGATGTCGACCCTTTGACGTCATCCTAGCGTGACGTCAAAGGGTGATGTCATTACGTCACATCACCGCTTGGTCATAAGTGGGCGTTTCCGGGAGGCACGTGAGGGGCGGCAAGCTTGCAACGCCTCTATTTCGTACGTCGGGAAAAATCATGATGGGTGCTCGAAGTTTTTGGTTGCGGGTGAATACTGCAATCGAACTAGAAAAAAATAAAAAAAATACGGATGGCTTTCGACTGATCTTTTCGAATGGACAAGCGCCCTAGCTTGCTTTGTTAACGTCATTCACTGGCTTTTAACCATCTTTTTTCCTTCCTTTTCCAGCTTTCTTCGGGTGTGAACGTGAAATGATCTGTTCCAGATATCACCACAGCAGACGCAGTGTTAAGAAGCGCACTGTGCAGTGGGGAATGCCCAAGCAGCAGCGCAGGGCTGCTTTGGAATGGTATGGACTTATCTCTGCCTGTCATTTTGACTTTTGGAGCTTCCATTTCTGGTTTCTCTAATGCGACAGTATGCGCGGTCGTCCAGGACTATATTGATGAAACTAATAGGTTGACTAATTAACCAGTTTCATTATCCTAACAGGTACACATAATTATATACGCATAAAATCAGATTATTGCTCTATTCTAAGAATAAATTCGTTTATGTGAACATTTGTACGCATTACATTAAGCACCACACTTTCCTAGGCTATCGGTAATCTTTCTGTTAAACCTCCATCATTCCAAATCTGAACAGTAAATTTTGAAACCACTCGATTCTTGGCCAATCCCCCACAGTAGGTATGCGCCACTAACAATAGGAGAACAACAACAACAACAACAATAACAATTGTGCAGAACACTGCAAGCTTTGTTGGCATACCACATTGCCAAAGTAAAGACAAGCTTGTCTAGTGCCACCCTCACATGGCTATTTATGGTAGATATGGCATCAAACATAGCAGACAAGACGCAAACAGTGGTAGTTGCCGAAAGAGGAAGTGTACGATATGTTACTGGTTGTCACGTAACTGTGTAAATCATACTTCAGTCTTGTCTCAAATAATGCAGTGTCTAGTAACGATCTATGTTGCTCAATATTAACATTCAACGGCAGCGATTACTCTCCCGAGACACACCACATCATGACAAATCTCATTAATCAATTGAGTCAACCAGATAGTGTGTTTCTTACCTCCATACGACAGGTGAACTTGCTGAGGCTGCGTGGAAGATGCATGGCTCGATGTTCCAATATGAATACTCCATACGATGAAAACGAAGACAGTGACGGACTGCCGCTCGTAAAAATTTACCATCGTAGTACTTCAAGGGCCGCCGTTACGAATTCTGGGAGTCCCTAGGGCAGCGTATGCTTATAACCTTCCTGCGACACGGTTTCTTTGTATCTTTTGTTAAAATAGCGATATCGCTGTCCTAAATGACTTCGCCCCAGGAACAACAGATGACCGTACTCTCAGCGTAAAGCAAGTACAGTGGGAATGAGGCATATTCGAGTTTTTAGTATCGGCGAAGCCGACAACCACAGCCGATAAAACACGCGATACGCTACTGTGTGACGTTCGAAGAGAGCGCGATTGCCAACTATCTTGAAGTCGCAGGCTTTGCGAGCGTGTAGTTCAATTTTAAAAGGCAACTGAACTAATGTGCCATGTAGGACAGCCAGATGTACCGACAGCTTCCGGCTGTGCTTGGTTATTATGGCTTCTTTTCTTAATAAATAAGCATGCAAAGTAAGGGCTAACTGAGCATATTCGCGCCCATAAATATTCGCCATTCCATCTGCCATATTGCTAACGGTCGTTGTGTGGCGGCAGATAAATGATCGCCCAAATTGTTTTAACACAATGTCGCATCACTGGCTTGAAATGAGGCTCGTTTTTCATGTTTGCATGGGACGTATCACATAAGGGGATATGCAGACATTGTGCAATTTGAATCCCATTAGCTTTATTGCTTGCGGCTTTATTCATTACGCTAAACTGTCGACAACGATTCCACAGAATATTTCTGCCACGCAGACCATACTCCAACACAGAGTTCGTGGGTTCGTGTGCGTGGGCTGTTCAAAAGATAGTGTGCACGTTAGACACAATTAGAGCCTGTCGAAATCATTTCGAGATAGCATATCCCATGCAACGTTTATGCACCAGTGTTGGATGGAGGATCACGCCATCTGTGTGGCATGACATTCGAGCGAATTTCGTTAGCCCCAGCAGGCGTCGAAATCTTATCTGTTTCGTCAAGATCACGAGACATGTGTCTCGTCGTGCCGCGCTTATGACTCAAGAAGACGACAGGTTTACAGAAAGAAAAGGTTGAACTTTTGTTTTTTTTCAGTATCGCATGAACAACACAGGAACATGTACTTACAAAGTTTTACGCTGCATACACATTACAAAAAAAAATACTGGTCAATACATCCCACGAGGTTTAAAGACTTTACAAAAAAAAAAACTACAGTAAGAGTTCAGCTGGGTCACACAAGTCAAACCACCGTTGACTTTGATACTTCAGTCCGAAGGCACAAACGGGAAGCTTCTCCTCGCGTTCGAGTCAGGTGGGCTGGTTCACGAGGGTGCTTGCAGCGGTAGTGCACTGTGCTGTGTTCTTCTCTGCACCTGGGTTGTTGCTTGGACTGCTTGCTGTTCTATCTAGCCCGAGATGTTTGCTTTCCTAGTAGGGCGAGTACTTCTCCATGAACTCCTGAGAAATGGACTGAAAATTAGGAAACCTTTCGGTTAAACATTCCTTGTATACCATCTGCAACAACGGTCCACCTTGTCTAAATCAATCTAACATCCACCTACAACAGAAACTATCTTGCCAAGATTAATAAGATAGGCTGGTGAATGAATAATTGCTTATTGTCGGCGCTTATACAGATCTTAAGGAGGCCAAGATTGTGCCTGGTGGTTATCGGCATTTACGTTTCCAAACTGTAGCCTCCGAGATCTCGTAGGCGCACCGAAAGCAGTTAGCTATCTTAGAGGCCAACTAGCTGCGCAAGCTGTCTCATGCGTAAATTCTGGCGACGAATGATGTGAGTGATTTTTTTCTTCTTTTTGTAAAGTTGTGCAGCCAAAATTTGATATCTTAGAGCACTCTGTAATCCAAAGACTGATTTTAAATATTCAATGTTTGAAAGATGGCGCCCCTGTATTTACATTTTTAGATATGCTTTACATGGTGTAGAATTTCATTGATGTTGGCCTTTACATTACCATTATTTTTATTATGTATCCTGATTGTCAAGATAGCTGCTAAAACACGGCATAATAATTGCCGCGCTTAACGTCCCAAGACCACTACACGCAGCGCAACGAGTGCACTTCTTTAAGAGAAGCAGGGGCGTAACCAGGGGGTGGCACCCTGGGGGGGCGGGGGGAGGCGGCACATGCCCGGTGTACCACTCTCTCCCAAAGTGCCCCTCCAAAAATTAAAGTGCCCCCCCCTCCCCTAGAACAAACTTTCTGGCTAAGCACGTGGAGAGAAGGTTGGGAAATGAACGCCGAGCCATAGCGTATTTTCCGGTATGGCTACGCGGCCCACAGGCTCGGCGAATGGGCAACTGGGGCTTAAGGCTGCAGGAGCACAGGAGCCCGAGCTAAGCGAGCAATATTTTCAAAGGAACCATGACAGCCGATCTTTATTTCATTTTTTTTCATTTATTATGCCTTAAGGGCACAAAGGCATTAAATAAGAGAAGGGGGGAGGAGGGGATACACAGGTTTCTAAACATTGTTTTTATAATATAATACTTGTAAACAAATCAAAGGAAACAAAATAAAAGGAACAAAATAAATTTAGCATTGGGTACGTACATCGAGAAAAATTCAATATCTTTTGGTAGGCACATATTAGAAAAAATAAAAGATGTACAGGCTTCGCAAAAGTAAAATATCTGTAATTAGTAACAAAACAAATCAAAAGAGGCACAAATGTAGCATTGCGTACACAAGACAATTCATCATGCTATTGTAGGCACCTATTGTTGGACAAAATGGTGGGTTAGTTTCTCGCGAATTTTTCCTCGATCTGAACAGGAAGCAATGGCGTTACGTAGTGTGTTGCATGGGATCATTATCTCTGTTATGCGGGTTAATTCTTGTGCGTTCACAAACAAGCTGGGGAAGTTTCGGCGCAGTTGGTCGAGCCTTTAATTTTTACAATTGCGCGAGCAGCCTGGCAGTCGGGCAACACTAGCAAACTCGTGAGCTATGACGTAACAAGCTGCTGGCTGTGCGAACATCTGCGTTTCAGCGGACGATATGGTTCTGTCGTGAGCTCCACATAAAGTCAACATATTTTAGCTTTCTACCGCTAGGCGCCGACACTGAGCGATTTGCAGCGGCTGAAATTGCCGTAGAAGACGACGGCACCACTCCTTGTTGCACGTGACGTCTCGCACGTTATCGCAACATGGCGGCCACTGGCGTTGGGTGGGATATACAGACGGTGACATTTAGGGCCCGTTTTGCACTGAGCTATTTTTTTTACGGTCCACTTTTCACATCTGTATAGGCGTAATAGACCCTATACTTGTAGTTTTCGACGAAACCCCAAACAGTTTGGTAATCGTGTCATGGCTTCTTAAACAGCGGATCACACTTCGATGGAGACGAGACGCCAGAAGCTCACGCGTCGTGTGATGACAGTGTCCGTTAATTTCTCTCCTCTATAGAGTCTCTCGTAATTATATTGTTGTTGTAAGACTCTGCCTATAATAATAATAATAATAATAATAATAATAATAATAAAAATAATAATAATAATAATAATAATAATACTTCGTAATTTAACTTGACCTGAAATGACAATGAAGCACGCAAAATTTAAACAATGAAATGAACAAAAGAATAAAGCCTACACAAAAAAAATAAATGAAAAATTGGCAGATCCCACGTACAGTGGGAATCGATGATATGCGAAGCACGAAAGAGAAATGTTGATATGTCACTTTAAAATCAGCACGACGTTACGAGGTAGAGGTAAATGATGCAGTACATGACTACCGTGTAATGAGTATCATGTTTGGATGTGTCATTTACCTTCGTAATTCATTCACGTCACGTGATACCGAATTTAGTATATGTGGAGCTAGCGAAATCGCCGCGAGCACGCTATGAGCGTGGTATGTTGTCACCTTCTTACATGACACGCGTGTCAGGATTATCATGTTTGCACGAGTCATATATTTCGTCATTTCGTGACGGAGGCACGCCGGACGCGCTGAAACGCGCACGCGCCATAGCAACACAGAGCGGCACGCGCCTGCGAGTATATATGGCAGGGCCGGCGCCTGGCGTGGCAACGCCGGCGTGACGCGACGAAATGAACGCCGGCGAGCACGCGCACCGCGTTACGTCAAAATGTATTGGTGCCTTGACTGTGGCATGTAGTCATGTTCTCACATGACGCGCAGCTCATGATTATCATGTTTGCACCAGTCACATACCTTCGTCATCCATTCACGTCCCGTAATACCAAATTTGGTATATGTGAAGCTAGCGAAACGGCCGCGAACGCATCATGAACGTGGCATATAGTCATGTTGTTACATGACACGCATGTCATGATTTTCATGTTAGGGTCTGTCGCGTTTTTGTTCGCCATGCAATCACGCCATACCATACATGTTTCGCAACATGCCATATGAACGAAACCACCGCAAGAGCTGCAAGATCATGACATTCATCACATACATGCTATGATTTTGATGTTATGACTACTCAAATATGTTCTTCATACAGTCATGTTATGCCATACAAAGTTTGGTATCGATACCATTATCGAAATGACCAGGAGAGCTTAAAGTGGTAGGAATATATATATATATATATATATATATATATATATATATATATATATATATATATATATATATATATATATATATATATATATATATATATATATATATATATATAATTATAGATAGATAGATAGATAGATAGATAGATAGATAGATAAATGCTTCGCATTCAAGAGAGCGGAAACGCACAGACGAAAATAAATCGGACAAAATTGAACACAAAAGGACAAGACGACAATCTTGGAATGACAACGAAAAATAAACGGCAATATACAGAACTATCTGGGAGGCTTCCTGTAAAACAGAAACTGGAAGAATCTGTACATTGTGAAAAGCTGTGATAAAACAATGACAATGAACTGTGAAAAACATCAAGCTCATGAAAGTTAACATTAAATAGGCGTTGTATTCTGTGAGTATTAGAGTGTTGAAAAACTTGGTAGGTACTGAAATGGTGGATTCTCCCTCGCCAGCTTGCATGGA